ATGTGGCGCGACTGCTACAAACTCCCTGATGGTTGGACCCCTGCTCAAGGCCAAGAGGGTAGAGGAGCAGGAGGAGGGAGAGGACGAGGCCGTGGAGGCCGTGGCGGTCGCGGTGGCGGAGCTGCAAACATGAAGAGCGGAGACAACGACAAGGACCCGAGCGACGATCGATACCCGGGTCTATTCTACTTCGTGTCGACGCAAGTACCGGCTGGTCCAGAGAAGGATGAAGGCTTTGAGGAGCCAGCAGCTGTGGGGAAGGTGACCCTACACCCCCTGGACTATTGGGTGATTGATAGTGGCGCTACCTATAGCATGACACCTCGCCCGGACTTGCTCACCGAACTCGAGCCGTCACCGGTGAAGCATGTCACATCGGCTTTGGGGCAGCGAGCAGAGGTGAAAGGCATGGGCAAGGCCATGTTCAAGGGTGCTGATGGGAAGATGGTGGGCCTCAAGAACGTGCTTTGGGTGCCCAGCCTTGCTGCAAACCTGATTTCCGTGCGGCGGTTGGCAAAGGCCGGCATGGACACGAACTCGAAGGGAGCCAAGACCTACACCGCAAGGCTTGGCGATCGAATTCTTTGGGACCTTCATGAGGACAGGGATGTCTACAACGAGATGTGGCAGATCCCAGTGGTCCCTATGCCTAAGGAGAGGCAAGTGGCAGCAAGCATCAGCACCAAGGATGGAGCGGTCGGTAGCGACGATGGCGCGAACGGTCGCGCTAAGGAGAATGAGCTCAAGAAGAGCAAACCTGGAGGGACCATCAAGTTCAGTGAACCTAAGGAGAGTGGTGCAGCAACCAAGGAGCAGCAAAAGGGTGAGGAGAACCCAGAGGCAGCAGCGGAGGAGGACTACGGAGAGAGTATGTGGGGCGCTATTGCGAGCGCGGCATTCTCCAATCCAACTTCGGCTACGGGGGAGTGTGATTGGCTCACCTTGCATCGGCGCATGGGGCATGTGGCCCTGCCCATCTTGCAGCAGCTAGTGAAGAATGAGATGGTTGCTGGCATACGTGTGAAGGGGGAGCCCGATGAGGTGCTTGGCTGCCCGACGTGCATTCAAGCCAAGTTCACCCGGTTTCCGTTCCCTAGTTCGGAGGCAACGGCAAAGGCACCGCTTGATGAGGTGGTGATGGACGTGGTGGGCCCCCTGAAGCTTGGAGCTGCTGGAGCTGAGTATTTTCTCACCATTGTCGACGTCTACACCCGCATGACTTGGGTGTACGTGCTGGCCAAGAAGAGCGACGTGGCTGAAACGTTGAAGACGGATTGGTTCCCGATGGTGGAGCGGCAACAAGACCGTCTAGTCAAGTCAATCCGCACCGATCGAGGGGGAGAGTTCCTGAGCAAGGAGTTTGGGTTGTGGCTGAAGAAGAATGGTATTCGGCACTCCCTCACCATGCCATACTCCCCTGCAATGAACGGCATCGCCGAGCGAGCGAACCGCACAATCACGGAGGCGGCACGCGGGTTGCTCATTGAAGCCGGGCTACCCGACTATTTCTGGCCTGATGCGGTGCGGAGCGCGTGTGTGGCCAAGAACAGAGCCTTGACTCATGTGGGAGCAGACAAATGGGTGCCCTATGTGGAGTGGCTAGGAAGGAAGCCAAAGGTGGATATGCTTCGGGTGTTCGGGTGCATGTGCATGGCGCTCGTGCCTAAGCATCTTCGGCACAACAAGCTTGGTGCCAAGGCGGTGTGGGCCGTGCACTTGGGCATGGCTCAAAACAGCAAGGGATGGCTTCTTTGGGACCCATTCACCAAGAAGTTCTTGGTGAGCAGGGACTGCAAGTTCATGGAGAACTTCATGTACAAGGATTGGAAGGCGGAGAATGAGGCGAAGATAGGCGTGCGGTTTGGGGAGGTGAAGAGTTCCGGTTTGGAGCATGTGGAGCTGCCTTTGGAACTGAGCAGCGGCAGCACAACCACAAGGCAATCCTCCCTTGTGAATGGGGGAGAGGAGGCCAATGATGCAGAGGAAGAAGAGGAGGAGGTGCAGCAAGTGAGCGAGCGTGCACCGTCACTTCCTTCCCGTACTACGAGTGCTCCACGGATTCGAGCCACACCGCAGCAACGCCAAGGCCTTCAAGTCCCTGCAGCTGAGGAGGAAGGAAGGGGGAAGAGGAGAGTTCAACCCCCTAATAGGCTGACCTATGATGCGCCGGGAAAGCAGGGCAAGACAGCCCTGGCCGGAGCGGCAATGATGGTCGGAGACGACGAGGAGAGTGACTACGAGGAGTGTGCCTTCGCGTTCTTCTCTCCGGTGGAGATGCCGGGAGAACCAGCAACTCTCAAGGAGGCTTTGGAGAGTAGTGATGCTGAGGAGTGGAAGAAGGCCATGGAGAGTGAGCTGAAGAGCATCGAGGAGAATGACACGTTTGAATTGGTGGAGCTACCGGAGGGGCGTACGGCGATAACGTCCAAGTGGCTCTTCAAAATCAAGTCGGATGCCGACGGCAAGATTGAGCGCTACAAGTCTAGGCTTGTAGCCAAGGGGTACCAGCAGAAGGAGAAGGTGGACTTCAAGGAGCTGTTTGCCCCTGTGGTGAAGCCGACGACGCTGCAAACCCTATTCGCGGGAGCCGCCATCAAAGGATGGGTAGTAAAACAAATGGACATCGTAACGGCATTCCTTAACGGCATCCTTGAGGAGGAGATTTTTATGGCGCAGCCAGAGGGGTTTGATGATGGTAGTGGCAGAGTGTGGAAGCTGAAGAAGGCCCTCTATGGGCTGAAGCAGGCCCCTAGGCAATGGTACATGAAGCTGCGCGAAGTGTTGGAGGGGATCGGCTTCACTCCCTCAACGGCCGATCACTCCTTGTTCATGCTTGGCGAGGGAGAGCAGAGGAGTTTCATGGTGGTTTATGTGGATGACATCCTCATTTTCTCACCCTCTTCTGACCTTGTGAAGGAGGTGATGCTGAAGCTTCAAGACAAGTTCAAGTGCAAGGCCCTTGGTGACGTGAGCTTCTACCTTGGGCTCCACATCGAACGAGATGTGGAGAAGCGGTGCATGCGGGTGCATCAACGAAAGTACCTGGAGGCATTGGCTGCCAACTTTGGGCAGAGTGAATGCCATGTGGCTACACCCTTTCCCTCTGGGTTCAAGTGTGTGAAGGGACCAGAGGAGGAGAGCGTTGGTGAAGAGGAGAGGCGCCGATTTCACTCGTTGGTGGGCAGCCTCATGTATGCGGCGGTAAACACCCGACCGGACGTCGCGTTTGCTACCGGGCAGCTGGCTAGGGTTGTGCAATGCCCTAATGAGGAGCAGGTAGCAGCTGGAATGAGGGTGGCCAAGTATCTTGGCCAAACACCGACCGTTGGGCTGCAATACTCGGCGGCGGCACAAAGGCGCCAAAAGGGCGCGGATGGTGTTGAACCGGGGCGTTTGTTCCTCACCGCCTACTCGGATGCTTCATATGCATCAGAACCAGAGGACATGACAAGTGTGGGAGGCTTCATATGCTGTGTTGGTGGAGGCCCAACTGCTTGGGAGAGCAAGAAGCAGGTTGACCAAGCTTTGAGCTCGGTGGAGTCCGAGTACATGGCACTCTTCCGTGCCGTACGGGAGATTGTGTGGCAGCGGCGTTTGTTGGCTGAATTGGGGGAGGAGCAGCAAGGACCTACCCCACTGTACTGTGACAGCCAGGGTGCCATTGCTCTTGCTAAGAACCCTGTGTTGCATGGACTCACGAAGCACATGAGGGTGAAGTGGCATTGGACGAGGAGCATGGTAACCGCGGGTGAAGTTGAGTTGCGCTACGTGAAGACCACGGGGCAGCCGGCTGACATGATGACCAAGAGGCTGGTGGAGCAGCAGCATTGGAAGTGTTGCAAGCTGGCTGGGATGGCTCTGAACTGAGAGAGCAACATATCCTAAGGCCAACAATCCGAGGGGGAGTTTGTTGGTGCAACCCTACGGTTTGCACTCGGCTTGTTGTCCGTGTGCGTGAATGTGTGTGTGTATGGAATGGTATGAGGGCATGGGATAATATATATTTCATGCTTATAATTGTGTGTGAATGTTGAGTCATGATGTCGAGTGTGTGTGTCGAGTCAATAGCGAGTTATCGCTAGACGCGTGTTACGCGGTCGTTTGTGTCTCGCGCGCGGTTTCTATTTTGTCGTGCGCGGTTTCTATTTTGTCCTGTGTCGAACGTTCAGCGTGTCGCAGGTGTGTGCAGCAGACCCATCAAGAACTCAAGGATGAGTTTGTGATGAAGAGCCCGAGCCTTGGTGTCAAGCCTCAAGTGATTTCGAAGCTCGCCAAAAGGGTGCACCTCAAGATATTGAAGATAGTTACATTACTTTGTGTAGTGTAACATTTCACTTGGTGTAGGCCCTAGTGAAGGGTAGTTTCGAGACCCTTCGTGGTTGGGGACAGTGTGGCACTGTTCCACATCACTGTACCTCGGCTCTTGGGGTTTGTAGGAGCTGGGAGTCATTCCCAACTCGTAACTCTTCCTAACTCTTCCTATCTTGTGTTCTAAGACTATAGTGGCTGCCATAGTACCGTTCGTTCAAACCAACGCTGTGTCGTCAATTCTTTATCAAATCGTGCAATCTAAATTGATAATTCTAGACGACGTGACGACGCTCCAGATCCAATTTGAATCAAGTCATTTGCAGCTGTCAGCAGAACGCTATCAACGTTTGAAGCCGCTGTGCAGAAATCCGTCTGTGCTCTCTATCTTTCGTTTTAGGCACATTCAAGCCTATTGTGACTATAACACCCCTGTCCTATCCCATTCCCCCTGTCGCTTTCTCCTTCCCCTGTCCTATCCCATTCCTGTCCTAGTTCAAGCGTGAGAGATTGACCCAAAGTACTATTCACTATTCAGCCCCCCCCCCCCCCCCCGCTGCTCCCCCCTGCACCCATTCGTCCCCTTGTCCCCTCACCCAACCCTCGCTTTTTCGCACTCCCATCCGTCGTTTTCCCCCTTGTTTGTTCCAGGGCATTCCCCCCTGCCACCATCCCCCATGGCACATCCTCCTATGCCACACCCTCAGTTTCACGCCTCCCCATTCCCGAACTCCCCTTGTCCGTCGGTCCCTTGGCGTCTTGCCCTTCCCTGCAGGCAGCAAAGGCGCGACGGTAGCAAGCGGCTCGCTCTCACTGTCTCTCCGCCACCAATCCTCCTCTCCCCCACCCCCGCCGTCCCTCCTTTCCCCCGTTACCATTCAAACCTTCCCCCCGTCCCCGTCCCTCCTTCCATCAGTGTCCGTCCCTCCTTCCCCCACCATCCACCCTTTACCCTACCCTTGTCCTTTCAAGGCATCCCCCGATTCCTAAACCCTTCCTTTCCCTTTCTCCCATCCCTTCCCTTTCCCCCTATTCAGTCCCACCATTCACCCCTCTCCCGGCCATCCCTTTCCCCCCTCTCCTGTCCCTCCCCATTCCCCTCATCCGACCCTTCCCTTTCCACTATGACCCCACGGTGGCAGGCGTGACGACATCCAACCCTCTGCTCCACCGCTCCCAACTCCACTGCTTCCCTTCACCCACCCCGCTGCTTCCCTTCACCCACCCAACTACTTCCCTTCACCCACCCCATCACTTTGTGTCGTCGCGCACCCCACTGTTTCTGCCAACCCTCCATTCAATTTCCCCATCGAACATTTTTCACTTCTTCGGCTGGTGTCCTTCCCTATCCCCCTCCCCCCCTGCTATCGGTGGACAGCTGCATCAATAATGGATCAGAGGGGTGTGAAGTCTGGCTCATCTTGGAGATGCCATGTAGGATTTAAAGACACTCATGTTTGCCTGCCATGTGTACATTCGTTGCACCCAAAAAGAAAAGGGAAACAACCACCCCAAACTTTGACCGTTCTGAAATCCTCAAATGTTCCTTCGAGTCGCAGAATATGATTTTTGTGTGGTACTCAGCTTATTAAAAATACAAACTCTTTCGTTATGCAATGTAGAGATGACGGCGTACTCATGGGTTTCGAATTTCGCGTTGTCGTGTCCCCCTTCCCTCCCCCCACCCCTTCCCCTTCCCCCTCACTTTCGAGGTTGGCGACGTTCGCCTCAGTTGTTTCCTTTTTCTCCTCATCGCAACACAATCTACTCTCTCGCTAGCCAATTAGCGACCAGGAAGGAACAAGACAAAAAAACTGTTTGTCACTGTTCCTAAGATATCTGCACCGCGGCTTTAAGCCAATGGAAGAAGCTTTTATTTGCAGCCCGCTCAGATCGCCGGAAAGCCGGTTCCCGTCTAAAACAAGAAAAAACAATTCCCTTTTCAGCAGCGCAGGCGGAATATTCCCAGATAGCCGATTCGAGTTTAATCGTAAACCCATAAGCCTCGGCAGTGTCGCAAGGGCAGCGGGAATCGGCCCGGACAGCCAATTACTCCCCAGGTCCAGATCAATTAGCGACGTCATCGCGGCGTACGAAGCAGCGCGTTGTGGTAACCCCCCCCGAGAAGAAATTTCGCGCCGCGGACAGGAAGCAAAGTTTCGGCAGGCGAAAAAAGGCGACGGGAAGAGGACCAGTGAAACAGTTATCCTGGAGATTAAGCTCCTCGAGATTCGTAAGCCGTGAAAGGGATTGTGGGACCGCGCCGGCAAGCCAGAGGTTATTCATAGAGAGAGAGTAAAGATCCGTTAACTGGCCGATAGATGCGGAGAGGGTCGCGGGGAATTTGTTGCCGCGTTCGCGCGCAGTGCGGTTGCAAAGGCGAGGCGTGGGTGGGAGCAAGAGAGGGCTGACGGTGCTCGTGAGTTTAGCCTAACGACAGCGCCGTTTTCGGCGCATGTTACGCCGGGCCACGTGCACGCGTTCAGCTTGCTCGCCGGGATGGGCAGCAGCGCCGCCGAGAAAATCGCCTTAAGAGCCGCTGTGTCAGCCGCCGAAGCCTGCGGCGAGGCAGCGGATACGCGCAACCCTAAACTCGGGGACAGGCTCTGAGTGGAGCTGGTTTCGCCGCTGGTTCCGCCACTGGTTCCACCGCCCGCCGACGCCGCTTCCGCGCGCTCCGTGGCAGATGCTTCTTCCGCGGGTGGTACTTTCTCCGCGAATGCTTTCTCCGCCCTCCGCACGGCGAAAATTTGCGCCGCAGGAGGCAGATCCGTCCGACGTCCGCGGCGAGCAGCAGGCAGTTTCGATATAAACTGACTCGATATGGGACCAAAAGACGTCGATGGTGAGCAGTAGAGGAGTAGCAGGAAGAGGCATGCTGTAGCACTAGCGTGGGCGCGCAGCGCGTCGTGAAGAAAGGTGATCGAGCGCGCGACTCGAGGGTATTCTGCGCCCGCCATCATGTGTGAACGGCGCGTGATTCCGACTCAAGCCGCAATACTTATGACTTCCCAGAATCCCTTCCGCGAGAAGCAAAGCCTGTTCAGTTAAGTGAGACACCTAAACTGCGTTTTAACCGAGGAAGGGAACGAATAGGAAGGATTACGGGCTGAGTTTCCAAGATAAGACATGGAAATTCTGCTGGTCTGCCAACATAACTTATACTAAACCAATGCCTTATCGTAAGAAAGTGCGATCTGTGTGCTAAATGTAAACGCAGCGGTAGTGACGACCCTAAGGCAAGTCGTTTCAGACTGGGCGCTAACTTTCTGTGGGCTTGCCAGTCGCATTATGGGGTTGCTACGGGTTGTGCTGGGTCAGGCTCGTTTGGGTTGGGTTTAGTGAATCGCGAACACCCACAAGCTATAATTGTGCCATTTGCTGGTCATTAGAGAAATGCGGGGGTTGATGTGACGGGGGAGGGATTGGGACCCGCAATTATGCACGGGAAACAGCAACTGACAAATGCGGTGGCATGCGAGTCTTGAAAGGTCAAGTGCGGTTAATTGACCCTATAGTCTGATACCGCACGATGATTGAGCCGCTGTCAGGGTGATACAGATTTTTCCGATCCAATAGAAATGCGACGGCGCGTTCCAAATGTCCAATGGAAATGCGACGTCGCGACTCGCGAACGCTGATCGACGTCGCCAATGCCAAGCAACAACATGAGCTGTACAGTATGTCTACGGCAACGAATCGCTTTTCCCGTAATCAGGAAACAGAACGTTTTAGATATTTCGGGTAAAGACCGATAATTGCGGGGGTATATGACAGCGACCTACTTCTTCAATCCACGAAAGACAGGATCTCGAGATTTTAGCCAGCTCCACGACCCAAACAAGCCATCATGAATTGCACGGTTTTAAACATTTGCTACCAGCTTTCTCTTCCAGGAGAACCTCAACGAGGTGTTGACACTCACAAAAGCAGGATAATCTCAATTTACACACCGCACCTAGAAAAGTGAAGAGTTCGAGCATTGCCGATTGAGAGCTGACACGACACCGGAGCTCAATTCGTGCGCCAATCACTGTCTAGTCAAGTTCAGTAATTTCAACAGCATCAACCCACTCATTATAGCGATAGAAGCATCTCTGCCTACTGGTAAGAACTGCCAAATTTGTACCAAAGTTTACTAAAACACATTAAGTAAATAGGTTGAGGAGAGGCACTCAGGTTCATGGGTTCAACGGGTTGGCAGGGTTCCATGCATATGCAAAAAGCCTGATCTTCCTCCCTGCTTTATCCCATGCCCTTTCCCCCAGTGTTGTCAGGCGTACGATAATGATTGTCTCGAAGGTTGTATCTGATGCTGATTCAACTGGTATGGTACCGGCGGACTTGCCTCTTCTGCTGCTGCCGTGCTGCTGCTGGTGCTGCTGCTGGTGCTGCTGCTGGTGCTGCTGCTGAGCCGGAACAGCCCCTCGCAGCAGACTCCCTGCCAGCAGCACGTGTCGCACTGTCAAATGTAATTCTATGCTTGTAGGCTACTGTGAGTAGCACAATAGGGAGTACAGTTGTTAGGGTTGCATATTTGTACTTCCACACTTTCTAGTTTCACCATTCCGTTGTTCGCTAACTTTGAGATGGTATCATGAGTAGGTGTCGATCCTCTCGCCTAGCCTAGCCTAGCCCGCGCCCTAGCGCCCTTCGCACCCTTGCGCCCTCCGCGCCCTCCGCGCCCTCCGCGCCCTCCGCGCCCTCCGTGCCTTAGCCTCCGCACCCTCCGCGCCATCTCCGCGCCTTAGCACCCTCCTCCTTCGCGTGTTAGCGCCCTCAGCGCCCCTAGCCTGCGCCCCTAGCCCGTCGCCCAGGCGCCCGCCCTAGCCCGTCGCCCAGGCGCCCGCCCCAGCCCGTCGCCCAGGCGCCCGCCCTAGCCCGACGCCCAGGCGCCCGCCCTAGCCCGTCGCCCAGGCGCCCGCCGTAGCCCGTCCCCCAGGCGCCCGCCCTAGCCCGTCGCCCAGGCGCCCGCCCTAGCCCGTCGACAAGGCGCCCGCACCAGCCCGTCGCCCAGGCGCCCGCCCCTAGCCCGTCGCCCAGGCGCCCGCCCTAGCCCGTCGCCCAGGCCCACGCCCTAGCCCGTCGCCCAGGCGCCCGCCCCTGCCCGTCGCCCAGGCGCCCAGGGGTAAAAAAAAAAGGGTTTAGGGTGGGGGCCTGCAACTGTCGTCCGCGTTCCTGCTTGCCGTATGACCTGCACAGTTGCCTGCATCCCGCAGCCGTCAGTACTGCAGCCCCTACTGTCGCACATACGTTCCACTGCCACTGGCTCTACTAGCGGCAGCCGACAGCCGCACTTACAGTTTCTAGCTCCGGCCGTTCCTACCTCCAGCCAGCCCTAGCTCGCCGTTTCTAGCTCCAGCCAGTTGTGCTCCAGCCGTTCTCGCTCCAGCCGTTCTCGCTCCTCGCTCGTAGCTCAATTTGCTCCGTGCTCCAGCCGTTCCTCGCCTAGTTTCTCCCGTCGCTCCTAGCCTGCCGCTCCTGCACCCCGCTAGCTTTTATCATGGAGTCCACTAGGGTTCTCCAGCAGCAGGGACAGCAGCAGCGGCCGTTTCAGCAGTGGCTTCCGCAGCAGCAGGGGCGCCCTCAGCAGCTGTGGCGCCCTCAGCAGCCGTGGGGGCCTGGTGGTTCAGGTCGCGTTGGCTGCAGCAGCGGCCCAGCCATCTGGGGGGCTCGTCGCGGTGGCCGCGACGTCGGCCCCTGCCAGTACCGGATCCTGACCGGCCCTGGTGCTGGCACTACCTGCTGGCGTCCTGACCACTCTGCACAGCGCTGCTACAGCCGCCTCGACGACCTTTACCGTGAGCGTTTTGGGCCTGCGTCGGCTCCCCCGATCTGGCCCGGTCTGTTTCGTAGTGGTTACCCTGTGTTTGATATGTCTATGGATGCTGTTTATTCTGTCACGTACGGATCTCTTGGCTTACGTGTACCTAGCTTAGGACCTGCGGCGTGAGCGTGAGGAGCAGGAGCGGTTGGAGAGGGAGCGGCAGGAGCTGCGGGTGCTGGACCTTCTGGAGCAGCAGCGGCAGCAGCAGCAGCAGCCGCAGCCGCAGCCGCAGTTGCAGCAGCAGCAGCCGCAGCCGCAGCAGCAGCGACCGCAGCCGCCACCGCAGCTTCCTCTGGAGCGGCGGTTGTTCCCACCTGTGAGTGGCCTGCGGGCCCTTGGCCTTTCCTCCCCTCCTCCTGTCCGCTCCCAGTCTCCTCCTGTGTTTGTTCCTCCGTTGCCTCCTCCTGACGACCGTCCGGCAGTCTGGTCTTCTCCTCCTCCTCAGTCTCTGAGAAACTGAACGAGAATGAATTGACTAAGGGAAAGTTGGGTACAAATGTAAACCCTAGAAAACTGTACCCCATATGTGCTACCCCACTATAGCCTACAGTAGCTATGTCATA